ACACACACACACACACACACACACACACACACACACACACACACACACACAAAACCTTATTAATCATTTGCCTTGTGGAAAATCTGATAAACTTGATATCCAGTTAAATGTGTGATTTCATTTTATTTCCAGCTTCTCTCTGTTTCATATCACAATAAACTGACTTTATGTGCAACCGTGATTTCGAGTTTCAGTGATTTTAATTTTGTTTTTATAGTCACGTTGTTTGTGGAGGTTTGTTTATTGATGATTTTTATGTAATTGTCTTGTGTCTGTATCTTTGAATTACTCTGAAGATCATCATTTTAGAACTTGTGCATTTTAAAGGTTCACTTGGTTTTTGTGCTGACGTTCAGAAGCTGAATGGTTGAAAGCTTGAACAGTGAAGATGGAGCAGAGGTTAATCCTGTGTTTGCATAACGGACATTTTCAGTCTTTATGTGTATTACTGTCTTACACAGTGTCTCTCTCGATCGTACCTGCGGGGATGCTTCAATAAAATCTGTTCATTAATACACAAACACTAAACATTATCATGGCAACGTTCAGATCCTCATTAGCCTGAAAGTGTGTGAGTTGGATGTGGACTCTGGATCAGGAGACTCTTGTTTTCATGTGATGAGGTGAACATTATGAAACTCTGCTCCGTTCCACAGGAGCCCAGCACCAAGCGCAGTAAACCTGTCTCCAGGGTGACGTCTCTGGCCAACCTGCTGCCGCCCGTCAAGACCGCACCGCTCAAGAGGATCAGTCAGACGCTGCAGGTGAACCGGCTGGACGCCTCCTCTGGTGTTTTTTATTGTCAATTAATCAACTAGTTAAGATAAGTTCACCTTTATTGACGCCAGGTCGAGTAAAGTCACTAGTTACAGCAGCAGAGGAAGACAAGAGAACATGTGGAATTATAAAATTAATGAAAAATAAAATTAGATAACTAGTTGTGAAGTATTTTTCCCATGAATACAGAAACCAAAGGAGACAAGGCTGCTGCTGTAAGGACTCTGGCTCCCCCTACAGGTGGGATGCCTGACTCGCTGTATAGAAACAATCGAGTGTTGCTTTAATTTGCACCGAGTTATAGATGGAAGAGTCCTCCTCTGTCTCCAGATGTCGAACCTGAGACAATATTCTGTCACAACAATAACACATAAATATAGTAGATATTAATTTGCATTGTGTTATATTGTGTATCTATTAGATTGAGATGATAACAGTGTTTTAAACTCCTCTGTCTCTGCAGCGCTCCATCAGTTTTCGTAATGACAGTCGGACAGAGAGAGCTGCTCCTCCTCCTCCTCCACCTCCTCCTCCCTCCTCCTCCACGATGAAGGCTCGTGTTATCTCGGCGACGGTCTCCATCCCCTCCTCCTCCTCCTCCTCCTCCTCTCTTACTGCAACCAGGGGTCCCACGGCAACAGCCCCAGCTGCCAAGCGCCGGGACAGCAAACTGTGGAGCGAGACGTTCGATGTCCGACTGGGGGCGACACAACCTCTGAGCCCAAAAGAGATAAAACGACAAGAGGTGAGAGACACGATGCTGCGGCACCAGATGTGTTGGTTTCTACGAGATGACAGGTTTTCAGTTACTTTGGGCTCCATTCATCATTTTCAAAAAATATTAACATATATATATATAATATATATTATAATTAAAAATTACAAAAAAACAATTACTCTGGATAAAGAAATAGAAGTATAACATAAATATATATGTAAACCAACTTTACAAAATACTCCTACAAAATACAAAATATTTGATCCTTATCCAGAAGTGGGTGAAAATGTCGACTCTGCGAAGTAGTAGTAGTTTTTGTCGTCCCTTTTTCTTTATTGATTTATTATTATTATTATGTATCATTCATTTGAATGTTTTTCGTTATGTGTGTGTGTGTTAGTGTGTCTGTTTTAATATTAGGAGATTTAACTTTGCACAGATGAATGAATGAAAACATGAATGTTGTTGTGATGGTGAAATCTGAAACTCTTCATTAGCAACTTCCTGGATTTTTTAGTTAACTTCATTAACACTCTCTCTCTCTCTCTCCCTGCAGGCTATATTTGAGTTGGCTCAGGGCGAGCAAGACCTGGTGGAGGATCTAAAATTGGCAAAGAAGGTAAAAAAAAAAAAGGTTCTGAATTTTCTCCGTAATTTCTCCGACGTGTCTGGTGTTTTCTGAGTATTCTCATACATGTGTTCGCTCGTGCACTGCAGGCCTATCGTGACCCGATGCTGAAGCTGTCGATCATGACCGAGCAGGAACTGAACCAGATCTTTGGAACCCTGGACTCGCTGATACCGCTGCATGAAGGTACGACGCAGCGGCTCATGGAAATGTTCCGTTGAAACGCCACAAAAAATTATACAATCCAAAATTCATTGTTCTTATCTTATCTTATAATTACAAACCTGTCTGCGTCCCCTCAGCTCTGCTCAGTTGCCTCAGAGATGCCAGAAAACCGGATGGCTCCACAGAACACGTGGGACACATCCTGACTGACTGGGTGAGTGAGTGTTTTTCTTCATTCAGTATAATTGTCTTCATAATTTGCGTCTGTCCTCGTCTCCTGCTCGTCACTCACCAGGTCTCTGTGTCCCTGCAGCTGCCCTGTCTCTCCTCCTACACTCCGTACTGCAGTAACCAGGTGAAGGCCAAGGCCTTGTTGGACCAGAAGAAGCAGGACCGCCGGGTCCAGGACTTCCTGCAGCGCTGTCTCCAGTCGCCCTTCAGTAGGAAGCTGGACCTCTGGAACTTCCTGGACATTCCCCGCAGCCGGGTGATGAAATATCCCCTGCTGCTCAGGGAGATCCTGAAGCACACACCCAGCGAACACCCGGACCAGCAGCACCTGGAGGAGGCGGTGAGGGAAACAACACTACGCACATTTATCCTTGATGAATTAATGCTTCATGTTTCTAGACTTGATGTCCACTCAATGATCTTTACAGCTCAGATGTTTGCCAATAACCCAGATTCACACACTCATTCACCCTCAGAACATTCAACAAGAGGCTGAACTCAGCGGACCACATTCATTAGATGAAGAGAGGACACAAGATGAAATGTGTCTGGATGTTAGATCTCGTCTGTGTGCTCCTCAGATGCTGATGGTCCAGAGCGTGGTGGCCGACATCAACAGGCGGACGGGGGAGTCGGAGTGTCAGTACTACAAAGATCGTCTGTTGTACACGGAGGTCGGACAGAGGGACGACCTCATCGACCGGTCCAGGACCCTCAGCTGCCACGGAGAACTGAAGAACAACAGAGGACTCGTCAGTAGATCTCAACATATTTTAAACATTTTCATTTCCATTTTTCTTCTCTCTCTGTTCTGGATGCGACACATTCCTCATTTTAAACCCATTGTTTGTAAAGTCTCTTCATCCACATCCAAACATTTTAAATGTCTTTTGTGGAGAAGAAAAACATCTTGACCCCTTCTCTCTCTCTCTCTGTCTCCAGAAGCTTCATGTCTTTCTGCTCCAGGACGTCCTGGTCATCACCAGATCCGTCTCACTGAACGAGCACCCGGTCAGCTACCAGCTCTGCCGCCAGCCAATCCCCATCCGGCAGCTGGACCTGGAGGACCTATCGGACGGAGAAATGAGAGTGGGCGGGTCCATCAGAGGGGCCTTCAGCAACAACGAGCGCAGTTAGTACAAAAACAACAAATACACAAAATCACCATCCAGTTACATTCACTTGATGTTTTTTATTTGGCAGAATGGGAATGAACTTGAAAATCTGAAACCATAATAACCACCTGTGTCTCTCTCCTCTCTATAGCAAAGAACTTCTTCCGGGTTTCATACCGCACCGGAGGTCAGCTTCAGAGCCACTGCTTCCAGGCCAGTGACGCCTTCAACAAGCAGCAGTGGATCAACTGCATCAGACAGGCCAAGGAGGCCGCCGCACTGACCGGAGACCAGCCACCACAGATGGGGCCGTGTGCAGAAACGGGACCGGGGGGACAGATAGGGCCACTTGGTGGGACAGCGCTGAGTTTCCAAGGGGATTCAGGGAACGATGATGAAAAAGGGATGTGGGGGGAGACGGGGATGGGTTTGGAAGCAAAGGAGGGTCTGGGTGGAGGGAAGGATCTGAGTAAAGAGGAGGGGGAAGGTTTGTCTCAGGAAACAATGACAGGTAGGGAGATGGAGACGGGTTTGGCTGTGGATGTTGGGACAGGGTTTGAATTAGATGGAGAAATAGGGACGGAGAGTGAGACAAGGCTGACGGTCGGCGAGACAGGGACAGGTGAGATGGAGATGGGGCAGGGTCTCTGTGATGAAGAGGGGGCCAGAGCAGACTGGAAGATAGATGGAGAAAGAGGAGGAGAAGTAGCGACTCTCAGCGGAGGTGGTGATAATGTTCCCACCACCCTCATCTCCCCTGCTCCTCCCACCAAAGAGGATGAGGATGTGATGGACGGGGAGCGGAGTGACGCTAAGGAGGAGGAAGAGGTCGGCATGGAAACTAGCGAGGGGGACTCCATGGAGGAGCTGACCCACAGGTGCTGAAACGAGGACCGAACAAAAGAAGGACTAGAAGCGCAGCCGATCAGATCGAGGAGTTGATGATGATGATGACAATGACAACAATCAAAGAAAGTCGTTGAGACACGTTGACGACAAAGAACCTGCTGTATCCTGACTCCTTGTTACCACGGTAACCACTTACTCTGGACAAACTGGGCCCGTGTTCTGCAGCTGCACCAGCTGCACGGATTCTGATTTAATGAGAAGTGGGAGGCGACGGTGCCGCAGTTGTTCACCAGGCACGTGATGCAGAAACATTGTTCAGGCTTCCTCAGGTTGTCGATGTAGCTTCCCTCAGACTCCACACACACACACACACACACACACACACACGAAGAATAAACATTTTTTTACTAGAGACTTGAATGTTCATGGACTGATTTTCTGCTGATTAATGATGCGTATGTCAGCTGGGATTGGCTCCAGCTCCCCCTGCAACCCTCAAGAGAATAAGCTGTATATATATAATGGATGGAAAATATTGTAAAAAGTTGGCTTTATGAATGATTTTAGCGTCGATACTGCTCAACCCTACCTTCAGTCTCTGGTGTAAAGATCTGGTTAATGCAGAGAAGAGCTGTTTCAGTCAGAGGAACACAAACCAAATCAAACAGATTATTTAAACACCTCAAACCCGTTTCCTCAATTTTAAGGATTTTCTTAATTATTTCAGGTTAGTTAAGAATTACATTCTTTTACATTTGTTCTGTTTCTAAACCTCCTGTCTTAAATTTAATGTCAATTTACCACACATTCTATTAATTCAATCATCAGTGGAGTTTTAGCTTTTTTTCCATAATGTTCAGTTAGGAGCCTGTTGTTGCATGTACATTTTGTAGTGTATGTAAAGGTAGTATATAAAGTTTGTCTATATGTGAATGAAGGAACAAAGCCAAGCAGGTCTGTCAGTTATATATGTGCTTAGACATGTTTATAATGAGTTACAATGTCCGGACAATCAATGTTGATAATGATGATGATGAATTTTAGAAGCAGGTTATTTGCACATCTCTGAGAGGATTTAAACTTGTGCACACTGTCAGTTTTTTAAATTCTGTAATCTGTTAAAAGAAATTGATTTATTTAGCTGATGCATCAGCTAATGTGCGGATTGTCACAAAACCAAAGCATCAAATAAATCATTTGAAAAGAAGCCTGTCACTGGTTGGATGGTTGCAGAGAAAATGTTGGAGAAATAATTAATATGTCAAAGGTTTCTGTCCTTTAGAATTATGGCAAAAACAGTTACAAACATGCAACTGTGTGTGTGTGTGTGTGTGTGTGTGTGTGTGTGTGTGTGTGTGTGTGTGTGTGTGTCATAAAATAAGTGATGTCATGAAGAAGTCCGAAAGTTCCATCTGACACGGTTGAAAAATATTATGATCACATGATAGGAATGATGTCACAGTGACATCACTATGAAGTCAGAAAATTACATCATGTATTCTAGTGTTGCATCAACTTTTGCAACCAATAAGATCAGAGACACGATCTACTGTTTGTCATGATGACATCATGATGATGTCAGTGTGAAATAAAGCTGAGGCCTTTGGTGCCGCCGGGCAGCTGCTCACTTTGCCTGGTTGTTACTGGTTGTAACCCACCTTGGATGGTAATTTAATGAAGATTGGAACATTATGAGTCAAATCTAAATTTTAAAAAAGAGATTTACAATGTACA